CACACACACACACACACACACACACACACACACACACACACTAGAGTGGACCAGTCTGGAAGTCGGAGGTGGGCGGAGCTTGAAGCGTCTCAAAGGACCTGTAACAAAACAAGCTGCTTTGATCCACACATTGAAGAAGTGGTGAAAGAGGAGCTGGAAAATTTAGAATAAGGAGGATTCAGATCAAAGCTTTTTAGTTCCACTTTATAAAGACCCTAGCCTGGTAAAAAACAGACCCAATCAGAGAACAGAAGGAGTTTTGAATGACACTGATTTTCTGCACAGTGTCTGCTAGTTATTTTAGCATACGGCAGTGGAGGAAGTGAATGAAACCAGTCCGTGTTGATAAGACTTCCAAATTAAATTAAATTTGTCTGACAAAGCAGCAGCTCTCATTTACCTTTAGCTCGGTACTTCTCTCCTCTCGGTAGCGTTGTTTACAGCGCAGTGCACGCAATTTCCAGTTAGCTTCTTAGCTTAGCCTCCTTCACAGTGGAGCTGGCACACATATGTTCGCGGCCAACTGATCCAATCATTTTAAACTTCAGCAGAGGCCACGCCTCCAGCAAGAATCACTTCTCTATAGCTGAGAGTCCAGACCTTCGTATGAAGCAAAGTGAAGGACAAGGCCCAGGTAAAAATCTCCTGAAGAAATCCTTGTCTATGGGAGAAATCTCAGACGGAGCAGTGAAGGGAAACTAGAATTGAGCAGAACTGTGTAGGAAGGCAAGGGCCAGGCTATAAAGAGCCCAACTGAATGATTTAAATGTGAAAAGGAAGGATTGAAAAGCATCAAATGTCTACTTTAACCAAAAATAACCTCTGAGGTCTTGTGGTTCATTTTGACCCAAGGGCAGCAGGAGGGTTAAAATGCAGCTAATTGAGCGAAAATATAAAAACTCCTTCTCTAACATCTGCACTGGCAGGTCGTTCAGGTTTAATAGTGGGCGATGCAGCATTCTTTCACTCCAGTATGTTGTTTATGAGAAAAAGTTGTTTTAAAAGCCTGAGAAACTGTGAAGCTGGGCCTCATTTAGCTAGCCTGGATGAAAACATCTATTTCCTTCTCCGGACTCGACTCAATGAATGACATCAAAGCTAACTGATTGATTGTAGGTGTTTTTAAAGCTGGACCAAAATGGTTTTGATTTCTCATCAGAAGATCTTAGTGTAAAACTCTGACAGTGAAAGCTGGTGGAATGCTTGGCTTTTAATCAAATTCTGTTCTTTACATTTTTCAGGAGAATGCAAGCCAACATTTCTGACTCTGTTTTATTTTAAATTCCAGGGAAGAAGTGGTGGAAGGCACCCTGACCCATCCTTTTGCACTAACTCTGTCCAAGGAGACGTTGTACTGGACCGACTGGCAGACTCGCTCCATACATGCCTGTAACAAACACAGTGGAGACAAAACCAGGGAAATCCTCAGTGGGATTTATTCTCCGATGGACATCCAGGTTCTGGAGCCCTACAGACAACCTTATAGTAAGTGAAATATTTGAGCTGTGGGTTTCAGGGTTCTTAAAAGTCTCAAGTATGTCTAGGTTTTCTATTTTAGCTCCTAAAATCCATGAACAAATTTATACCTTAGTCATTATTCTGTGCTGTATTCTGTCTGAGGAATTCAGTTCTTATAACTTTAAAAGTTTCATCGTGCAGCACCTCTGTAGGTTGATGAACATTCAGGTGTTCTTGTGGAAAGAAACAGGTTTTGAATGAATTGAATAAATTTCAACAAAAGGAAATAAAATATTACATTTTTACAGTACTTGTCAAATGTGACTCAAAAGGTCTTTAACTTTGTGATATTCATGTCGTGTGTGCAGAAGAAATAAAACTCATTTTGAAGCAGAATTTCTAGTTAAGTGCTGGCGTCACCAACGGATGTACGAAAATGTAAATAAATAAATACATTTTGGAACAGTCTGCAGTCAGACTGCAACACTCAGCTGGTAGTAAAATCCTAATCTTTCAGTCCTCAGTTATTGAGAGGTTTGCTGATGAAAATGTCCTGAAATAGACATTTCGATTAGACTGTGGAGTCACATGTAGAAGCCTCAGCAGTGAAAAGCAGCACAAACTAAATATCTTGTGATCAAATCAGAATTTATTGAGTAATGTGTACTGTTCTGTAAGCAGACACAACTACACATCTGATCAGAGCTTTGTGACAGATTTTTTAAATGAAGTTTTTAATACAAGAAACATCAGAAAAAACTCATTTTTTTCCACAGTAGGTGGCCTTTCCAGCAGTAAACAGGAGTAGGGATTCACTGATACAAAACTGGCATCAGGCTTTTTTTCCCGATACAGGTGTATAGTACATTTACTAGTACTTGTAAAAGTGTTCCGATACTACAGCACCAATATGACTTTAGTTCAGCGTGACGTTCACCTCTCAGCTGAACAGTCAGGTACAGGAGGTGCAATGTCAGTCAAGTGGAGGTAGTTTTATTTTATTGTTTTAATTTGGCTGTCCTGATCCACTCTCCTTTTTAGTTGGTGACAGTAAAGCACTATATTCAATTAAATACACTACAAAGACAAGAAATATAATGTCTTCTGTAAATATTTACTCATTTTGAATTTGATGCCTTCAACACATTTCAAAAATCCGGGACAGGTTCATGTTTCCCTCTGTGTTCCATCGGCTTTCCTTTTAACAACACTCAGTAAGTGTTTGTGAACTGAGGACACTAGTTGTTGAATCTTTGTAGCTGAATTCTTTCATTCTTCCTGGTCAGACCCCAGGACGCTTGTTCACTTTGTCTCAGTCCATCTCAGATGAGCTCAGGTCCAGAGAAGCCGGCGGTGTTTCTGGGTGTTTCTTGATATCTGGCTTTGCATGATAGAGCTTTAACTTGTTCTCAAACTGTTGGACTATTTGTTCACACAGTTGTTCATAATGATAATAATTCATAATTCTATCTATAGTTAGTAAAATAACTAGCTTATCTGTACCTCTGTATGGATGCTGCTGTGACACCTGAATTTTCCCTCAGCTGGACATGAGAGGCTATTCTATTCTATTCTATTCTATTCTATTCTATAAAGTGGTGAACCTCCTTGCTTGTGAATGACTGAGCCTTTCAGGGATGCTCCATTTATACTCAATCATCTGTTTCGAATGAACCTATTCACTTGTGGAATGCTCCAAACGGGTGTTTTTTTGGAGCATTTCTCAACTTTATAAGTCTTCTGTTGCTCCTGCTCCAGCGTTTCTTGGGTCTTCAGCTCTATGTTGACTATACTGTAATGTCCCTCAGCATGTAAAGAACGTGAGCCAGAGATGACTGTGCCTCTCAGAGCCTTTATCAGCAGCATAGAGACAGAACATGAGCTGCTCTCACAGCCACTACTCTGGACTGCTGGACCTAATTCAACCCCCTGATGCCAGGCAATCATCATAACCCGATGTTTGGGTTCTAGGCACAAACAGTCAGAACCTTACCACCTGCAGCTCTAAGCCACACTGTCTTTCACTGGGGAAACCTCCAATACTGAGGCACCAAGATGGAGTTTTGTGTGTCCCCACACCCACCAGTCACTTCTCTACCTGGGCAACTCCACAGTAGGAACAAGTCCAGCCCTTCTCCAGGATTTGTGTTCCAGGTCCCAAGCTGTGTGTAGAGGTGGACCCAACTGTATCAAGTTGGTATGGCTCAAACACAAGCTCTTTACCTGCTAAACAGGTGGTATTCTCTGTCTGTAGATTCTACGCAGATTCCTGGTGGTACAGACTAGTTCTAGGGCCTAGAACTAGTCTGTACCACCAGGAGTCTGCATGGTTAGAGACCCTCCCCTACAAACTGGAATGAGGGTGTTTCTCTGTCAAATCCAAATCGCATTTTATCAAATTTTTATGATGCGGTGGAGACAATACAGGAAAAATATATTTCAACTTGTAAAGTTCCAGTCCGGAAAAATAAAATTCCATGGTTCAATGCCTCTATAATACATCTCCTAAAGTTGAAAGCTTCTTCAATGAAAACTTATAGAATATCAAAAACTTCTGAAAATCGGTCTCGTTTAAACAGTTACCGAAATAAATGTGTTGCTGAATTACGCAAAGCCAAACAACAATATTTTAAAAATCAAATTATTTCAGCCAGTAAGAATCCAAAAATATTATGGGAAACGATTAAGTCAGTGACAGGTGAAAGTAACAATAAAACATTTAATAACAATTCACAAATCTCAGTAAATGGACTTCTTGTTTCTGATCATGAAAAAATTGCTGACTTATTTAATGAATATTTTATTTCTTCAGTAAGGACATCATTACCGGGACACGCTAATAGTTTAAAGTTACTAAAATATCCTGACACTTCAAAGCAATTTTCCTTTTCTGAAATTTCACAGAGTGATGTTTTGAATACACTCCAATCTCTAAATGGCTCACATGCATTTGACAAATATAAGATAAATATGGATTTCTTGAAAATGCATGCCAACACTTTTTTTTTTTTAACCATTGTTTCATCATTTGCTTAATTTATGTATTGTGCAGTCTATTTTCCCTGATGCCTGGAAGTTTGCTCAGATTACTCCCATTTTTAAATCTGGTGATCCAACAGAAGTTTCAAACTATCGGCCAATTTCTGTTCTTTCTATTTTTTCTAAGTTACTTGAAAAAACATTATTTAATCAACTACTTCAGCATCTAGAAGCTAATAATATGCTAGGCAATAGCCAACATGGTTTCCGCACGTCAAGGTCAACCATGTCTGCATTCATTTTATTCTTTGAACATCTTTGCTGTATAAATTGATTTTTTTAAAGCGTTTGACACAGTTGATCATTATACTCTCTTACAAAAGTTGATTTCTTTTCAACTTTCATCATCTGCAATACAAATGTTTTCCTCTTATTTGACTGATAGGTATCAGGTTGTGAAACATGGAAGCTCTGTGTCCGGGTCTCTGCCCTGTTCCGTGGGAGTTCCGCAGGGTAGCATACTGGGCCCATTACTTTTCCTATTATACATAAATGACCTTCCAAAAATATTGAAGTATTCAAATATTTTAATGTATGCTGATGATACTGTTCTTTTTTTGTCTGATTTCAATATTGAATCTATTAATAGTCAGTTACAAGCAGATCTTCAGACATTTCATAGTTGGCTTCAAGATAATCTTTTGTCAATTAATGTTTAAAAAACTGTGTGCATGTATTTTTCCTCACCCAGGAGACATTTCAATATAACAAATCAACTCACTTTTTTAAACAAACCCCTTGATATWGTCACTACCTACAAATATCTTGGAATTACTTTGGACTCTCATTTGACTTATCGTGATCATGTACAAGTCTTAACCACTAAGTTGAAACAGAAATTATACGTTTATTCAAACATTAGATCCAATCTGACATCTTCTGTTTCAAATATCTATCTTCATGCCATTATACTCTCAACCATGTCGTACTGTTTACCTGTTTGGTCTCTTACAACAAATGAAATCTTAGAACCCATAGTTAGGCTCTACAACAGGGCCTACAAAATTCATAAAAAACTTCCTGGTTGGACTCATCACTGTGCAGTTCTTTCGTTGTCTGATGCCTTGACTTTTCAGAATTATGTTTTGTGTAGTGGTATTAATTTATATTATCAGATCTTCCAAGGTGCCAATTATGGAACTCTCTGTGCATTGCTGCCCAAATCAAATTCTGGAAGTGGTCATTCAACTAGATGTGTTACAAAAGGACAACTGATATTACCAACTTTTAAAAACTGTTACGGCCAGAGGTCTTTCTTCTATGTTTATACTAAAGCATGGAATGACATTCCTCAAAACATAAAGTCCATTTCAAAACTACAGCCCTTTAAGAAGAATCTTGTCTGCCATCTGCTGGACACTTTTTGTTGTGCTCATATTTAGACGTCCTCTATTTTGCAAATGCTGCCTTCCTGAAATTTGGTATGCTTGTTTTGTCTTTGTGTCTATGGTGTATAATGATGTGATTGTGATGCTGTAATTCTGAGTGTTTAATGTGCTGCAGAACAGGAACCTGCTGTAAAACAGCAATTATGCTGAGTCAGGCTTGATTTTTAGTAATCTTTTCCTGTTAAATCAATAAATCAAATCAAATCAAATCCCTCGCCTGCCGCCCGGCTCACTCTGCCCCTGACCTTGATCCTCTGTGAGTTGGGTTTTGGAAACCCTACCCAGGGTTCCCGCGGATCCTTAAAAATTCTTAAAGGGCCTTAAATTTAACTTGCTTTAAACTGTAGGAACCCTGCCTACCAGGGGTGATGCCCCAGACAGCATAGCCCCCAGGATCATTGGGTACTCAAACCTTTCATCATGTGGTTGCGACTCTTCAAAGAAATTTTTTTATTTTATCTTTTGTTTCTTTCTTTGACTTGTTTGTCAAGGATAGGTGCCATGATGGTGGTGTTTATTATCTGCTGATTTAACAGAATATTTAAGAAAGAAACCTTTAAATGTGTGATGAATTTGAACATGAATGTTTGAGTAGCAGTTGATATACTACAGATTTTTATCCTCATGCTTATTTTCTGGTTTACCTATTTGTTTTTAACTGTAATTTTTGTTTTATTTGTCTCCTAACAGTCCAGACTCCTTGCAGTGACAATAATGGAGGTTGCAGTCATCTTTGCCTACTTTCTCCTGTGCAACCGTTCTACAGCTGCGCCTGTCCAACAGGAGTTCAGCTTAAAGCAGATGGAAAGACGTGCAAACCAGGTTTGAATCATATCTACATAACTAAGCTAAACTACTGTTTAATCACAATGTTTGGAACAGTTTAAGGTGAATTATTGCATTTTGTACCTGCTTCTGCAGCGAAGATGGCAAATGAACCTACACTGTCTTGCATAAATATTTGATTTTCTGTCATAAAACCTAACATTTTTTAGTTTATTTTAATTTGATATAAATGCAATAATTTTCCTTTAAACTCCCAGATTTCTGACGGTCCATAGGTAACTGTTTAAAATATTTTTAAACAGTATAAGACATAAATGGGGGTATTGTATTTTTCAGGCTCATAGTTCAATTCTATACCACAATGAAGTAACTATGTTACCTTCAGTTGGTTTGGAAAAGCTGTTTTATATCAAAAATAAATTTGACTTTGCATCATAGTCTATCTAAACACATTAAAATTAGCCTCTGTCTCTTTAATAACCTCCTACCATTTCCAACACTCCCACTTCAGCACGTCTTCACAACAATGCTTCAGGGGAGGGGTGCTCTGTGGGGTGGGATCTCGGCTGCAGACTGAGCTCCAGGGAGGAGCTATGTATAAATAGGCGGGGCTTTAGGCAGCTCCACATGACTACCACAGGAGATTCAATGATTTCCATTCTGACACAGACAGGAAGTTGTATTAAGGCACTATCAGATCTACAGGATGAAGTTTCATCATGAAACACTTCAGCATTTTCTTGGCAGAGAAGTGGGGGCTTACTGGTCGAGGGCGTTGGCTGTGAGAGAATACCTCTTGAGGTCTGTTGACCTTTTGTTGGGACTCCAGATCTGGATTTTTTCCCCCTTTTTTGGGGTCTCGAATCACAGCTTTGCTTGGTCAGGTCAAAGAAAGGGAGAGAAACAAAGGAGTAAAAAAATAAAGGGAGAAAGCTGTTGTTGATGGTCTTTCTAGTGAAGACCATATGTTGAAAACCAAACCAAAGTTCTTGGATTTCACACACACATTTGTTTTTTATCAGACTTTTTTGCACTCAGCATACTTTTTTTTTTAGATTTCGTAGGCTTTGTAACTTTCCATACAAAATAAAAGAGGGAAAAAAAACAACTTACTGTTCAGAGAGCTGACTTTTATTTTTTTAACAAGTAACAAAAAAAAAAACATGACCACATCACTCCCGTTGTAGCAGATTTTCTCTAGCTGTCTATTCACCAACTTCCATTTTGGCGCGTGGCTACATCTAGACGTAAGAAAGGTTCCTTTTCAAAAACTGGGTGACCACGTCAGAATCCAAGATGGCCACCTCCATATTTAGCCTGTCGCAATAAATCAAATAATTACATGATAAATTAAAGCGAGGTTGATAATTTCCATTAGTCTGCTTGCTTGTTTTCTTCTTGTCTCTCTCTCTCTAAAAGACTGAATGTAGGGCTACAACTAACGATTATTTTAATAATCGATTATTTTTTTCAATTAATCGATTAATCGGCCAAACCATTAAAACACTTAATTACATGAATATAAGTAGATATAAATTAAGTTAACTCCTTAAGGATGCAAGTTATTGATTAATGAATTAATCTAAGTTGATTTATCTTATAGATTGATTAACAATTAATTGATAAGCAGCCATTTTCTTAAAAACCGGAGTTTTCTCTTGAATCAAGAGGGTCTTTCCATAAAATGAAGGATTTTTTTATTATCTCCTGAATTAAAAAACAGAAGCACATCATAAATATTTTGACAATTTGTTTTGCCAGCTGTATTAAATACTGACTGTAAAAATGTGTATTTCTCCTACATGAAACATAACAGAAATTTAATAGGTTGCTGAATGAGGAAAATAGATTAAAATAATAAAATATGATTTTTAGATGTAAAACTATTATTAATTTATTATTATTAGAATTTATTTACATTTAACATTAATTTTTTTCTCTAATTCTTTACTTTTTATTTCATTCTTGTTGGTTCCGTTTGACTAAAACATTGTTCGACCCAATAAAAACGGTTCTGAAGCAGCCCTCCTCCTCCTCCCCTCTCCCTGCAGACCTGCTGCTTGCGTCTTTTTTTTTTTCCTTAATCCTGAACCGTTTTGCTGCTCAACAAATAACTTTGAGCCTCAGTCAGAAAAAAATGGAGTTTTTTTACTTTTGTCCCCAGAGGAGGATGAAACGGTGGATTTAGGTCTCCCTCCTCCCCCGCACGCATTTCATCCTCGCAGCGCGCATCAAATAGACCGTCTTTTAAAAAGAATAAATGTAGCATAAACTATTTATCATATCTTTGGATCTACTTGGCCTAACACGATTTAAAAACTGGTTTAAAGTTCGGAGTCTCTGCTTTTCACTCGAGAGTCAGAGAGGGAAGGTAGAGTTTTTTTCTTTCTTCCTAAACTTTATTTAGGTCAGCCAGCATTGACAACACTCTGTGGGTGACGTAATCGGCTCCGCAGCATGGTGAGGCACCCGCAACACAATGAATCGATAATTTGCCAACACTTTTAATAATCGATTTTTATCGATTTTATCGATTCATTGTTGCAGCCCTAACTGAATGACTAAATGTTGTATAACTTTTCCCACAAGTCATTTTAGTTCCACGTGTTGCTTTTACATTTTTCTGTCTCCTTTATTTACATTACTTTATGCCTTTCTGCCTCATTATTCAAATAAGGTGGGCAGAGATTCTTGTAAGTCGATTAATTGTTAGCATCCCTAATGGCATTGATTTCTGATACAATTTATTATCCAGCAAAAAGTGTTATTGTCACAGGCCTATGGCATGTGTAAACTGACTACCCTTATCGATTGAGATAAAGTTATTCAGAAAGCTAGTTTGTTAATCTGGGAAAGAAGGTCTTAATGCTCAATTCAGATTTTTAGAAAATATCCGATCTTTTGGTGTGAACGATCACATTACAATTTAAGAACGACCTGCAATCAGACTCCAGTGTGAACGCTACACAGCACTGATGTGACACACATGCACAGTAAAAGACGTGACGTCTCATCAGCCGGCTTGTTTGTTTACAGAGCTAGCATGGATGCTACTTTTTGCACGTCGAATCTGAAGTTGTTTAATCAGAGCCGATTAAATAATTATCTGACCTGCTTCTTTAGTTCAGCGTTTATATCTGAACCTGCCTCTGACCGGATGCTCCGGTGAAGCTTTTTATTTTTTGAACGAAGCAATGAGCTGGAAATAAAGTGTCGACCGAGTAACTTTAGGATCGATACGCTCAAACCGAGGCTGGACGTTACTATCTACATAGAAAATTAAAAGTAAAAAGTCAAATCAACTGGACTTGTGTTTTGGAGCTGTAAACACATGGAGCTACAAATTTAAACAGCGAGACTTGAGGTTAGTGTCTGATCGATCCTTCACCCCCTCCTCACTGATGAAAAAGTCAGATGAATGTGACATGAGCGTTTACACTGCAGTCACTTTGAAAACATCAGATATGGATCCGATTTAGAATCATATACTGAAACGGCCTGGGTCGGATTAGAAAAAATCTAATTTGTCGCTTTCAGACTGTCATAAAAAAATCAGATTTGTATTTTTTGCATGGGGCAAAAAAAAAAAATCAGATTTGGGTCGCATTTGCCCGCAGTGTGAACATAGCCTCTGTCTTAAACCGCCAGTTATCGGATTGATCCATTCCTGTCTTATATAATTTCATTAATTAAATTTAGTTCTGACATCTTTCATAGTTTGTAAGGTCCTTTCATTCAGTTCAAAAGTTCTCTCTGGGTCACCTGAATCTTTCAGCTCCTTTCAGATGTTGAGGTACTTTTCCTTAACTTCATATGCTTGGAAGGTGTCACCCTCAATTTACACTACATGCGTCTCCGCTCCGCTGCGCTGCGCAGGTCGCAGCTGTGCGTTTCAAGTCCAGTTTACACTACCTCCGTTCCGGTCCGACAGACGCGCAGGAAGGAGATTGCGCGATAAATTCAGTGATAAGTGTGGAAGTCAGAGCAAAAAATAATTAATTCTGTGAAAGACAAACTCCAAACACAGCTGAAAACATTAATATAAAGGCTTTTGGTATCTATGTTGAAACTGTCTCGCTGTCGGCTTTCTGAAACTTCTGATTTCCAAATAAAATCCACGTGTATCGTGTGTGTAGCACATATGCTTCATGCTACATGTTTCCATCTGCTTCCCAAACAGAACGATACATTCTGATAGCATTTGTGTAGAAATATATCCATATATTTATTAATACAGCTGCAATTTCGACATTATTCCGACAAATTATTCTGCCGAATAGTGTCTTATTTTAAAAATACGGATTTTGTGCTCATTTCTTTTCCTGTTGGTGCGATGTAATCTTTAATAATTGACTCTGGCGCAGCTCCGTCATCTGGCAAAAATAGGATCCATTATAATTTTGATGGATCGCCGTCCACTCACCGCCGCCCTGCGCAGCCAGTGTAAACACTCATTGATTATAATGGGTGTGTATTTGCTGTGGAGGTTGGACCGCAGCGGAGCGGAGACGGACCGCATGTAGTGTAAATTGGGGGTTATTTTGAAATTGACTTGCTATTTCTTTGAGCCTCTATGAATGTCATCTCTTCAAAAAACAAATATGAAACTAGAGGTTTCTTTCAGGAAATCTGATGGTGAGCAGGTTTAGTTCAGTGTCTATGGACCTTGTTTGTAGGCTGAGTCTTATTTATCTCTTTTTCTGGAACAGAGATCTTAGTTTCTCTAGAATTAGGGTTTACTAACTCAGAGTTTTCACTTTCTGGAATACCCCTGTGGTGTGTCAGCTGTAAAACCAGCTTTAAAAAATTCTCCAGAAGCACAAAGGAACCCTAACTGACAAGCTGCCATGTTGTTTCCCATGATGCTGCAACAATAGATGTTTATTCTGCAAAAACACAGCATTGTTAAGGTTTGTGTGTCTCTCAGGCTGTTTTTATATGAATGTTATAAATCGAATGAAACTTCGCTACTGTTGCAGTTACACAATGATGCTTCATTGTTCCCTGTCTGTGTGGCTGAGTGGCTCTAATTTGTT